ATGAACCAAGAACATGATACACAGAAAATAATTCTTCGCTAGTTCAGCCGGGAATCATTTCTCCAGTTTTGAAATTAAATTTGACATGAATAGGAACCGACACGACGGAGTTACTGACATATATTACGAAGATGCTCTTGCTTATTTCGTATACTGTATACGTCGCCCTATATAAATTACAGTGATTATTCCTGAAAAAAGATTTTTTTTTTTAATTCCTCTGCGATGGTAAGCTTCATTTGCTATTCAACCTCTTTAAAATTGAAATCAATCGTTTATTCTATTCATGCCTCAGTTATCAGCTATTTAACACCTCCAATAGAAATCGGGAATCTATTTTTTGCGTCATTACAGAAAAAATTGAAATTTTGGTACGGACTCGTTTGATTGGTTTCAAAGCAGTTTTCATTCAAAATATTGTGTATCTCGGATAAAGCACTTCCAAAAGCAAAAAAATATCGCACCCCGATTTTTAAAAAAAATGAGGCTAACGAAGTGTGTCATCCAGTGAATATATAGTATAAATGGGAAAATATAGAATTTTTTCCGCAAAAAAATCGTGCGCTAGAGGGAATTCAGTTCTTTTTTCACCGCAGAAATGGAAAATTTGATGAGGATTCAAACAATTTTCATTCAAAATTTTTNGTCATCTCCGGTGCGGTCGACCCAGTTATTGATGTCTGCTGACGTGATTCCCACTTCCGGCCCCAAGTTCTTCTCCAACTCCAGCAGCAATTCGCCCAATTTCGCCTTCAGCTCCTTTCGTCTCTCGCCATAGAATTCTACCACGGACTCGATCGAAGCCCTCACATCATCGACCCTGTCATGAAAGAAAATTTCCGTGTAATTTCCGCTGGACTCGAAAAAAAAATCTTTCCTCATCATCCACATTCAATAAGAAACGAAACATTTTTTTCCAGAAAATACAAAAGCTATGTTTATCTCATCCAGGCTGTTTCTCATGTACACGTCAGACACGAAAAGGTTTCGACCAGCATTATTCAGCCAACGGGTAAAATTAATTTTTATATTACATTCCTTTATTGTTATACAGTTGAACCTCGCTAAGTCGAATACCTCCCTAACTCTAATTTTTTCAATTCCCTGCCTGGATTCCCATAGAAAAAATGCTTCAAAAACCTCCCTAACTCGAAGTATTTTTCCTCTCAAACCTCTGTTCGTCGAATTTTCTGAGGCCTTTTCGTTATAATTTCATTCAAATATAAAAGAGAAAATCAACAAAACAAATTATTTTATGCATTTTGAAATGAAGTGAAAGACTAATTGAACAAATGAACCCCTGCCTCTACGTTCAGCAAGCTGTAAACTCATTAAGAAGCAAGTTTAGGCCCAGAATATCCTCATCTACAATTTCCCATTTTCCTTGCAGCAAAAAATATTTGTTTCCTTTACTCAAAACCTCCAAAAATCAATACATCCTTTAGTCAAAATCTCCCATAGTTGAATTTTTTTCCTGGTCCATAGAAATTCGACTTAGAGGGATTCAAATGCTCGGCATACATACATCAATACCAAATCATGCATTTCACTGATTTTGCCATTCAGAATAATAATAATAATAACACGGTACATACCCGGCAAAGCTTTGTACGAGCATCACAGTGGGATCCAGTTCCACTTCTTCGATGAATTCCTCGATTTCCTCGTTGACCCGTTCTCGCAATGGGTCAATAGCCGGCTCGAGGCGACCGGCGGCCTCGTAAGTGGACCTCCAATCCGTCACCACTTCTTGCACAGCGTGAAGTCCGTTGACGAAATTCTCCCCGGACATTTTCATCCTTCGCTTAGTCGACTCCTATGAATACAGGGAGGGCCACAAAAAAATAAAAAAGGTGAACCGATTCTCGACTTGAAATACCTCGGCAGCAAATCAAGCTGTGAAAATTATAAAAAAAAGCACCAAATGAAAGCTTTGTTCAATTCACTTTCAAACGGTATGCCGAAGTGCTTATGACATGGTCACAAGAAACTCTTGAATGAGAACTTTCCACAAAAAAATTTTTAAAAATGGTCAGGTCTCTCCACCACTGACATCTTTGATTTCGTGAGAAAAAAAAGATTGCTAACACATCATAAAAACATAACTTTAGCAAAAAGTTTCTTTCAGCAAACGACTTTGCTCATTTTTTTCCCGTGAAGAACTTGCCCTAACTGACCAGCAGTAAGAAATTAAAATGTTTATCTATAACCTTCACGAAAAACAAGTCTGATCACACCTAAAATATCAATATAGAAACCCAAAAAGATAAAGTAAAATCATAATTCAACTGCCTGAAATGAATCGAATCAAGGCTTTAAAATATTGCTAATCAACAAATCAATTCATATGTGTCAATTATTGCGTGTGTGTGATTATGCCTGTGACATTTGCTGAGTTGATGCTAAACTTCGGTAATTGAATATAAATTCTAAAATTTTTGGAATTTCCCAAAATGTTCCCAGCAGGTCTTCCCAGGAAGATTTCTGCGCTTTCTCGCAAACTCAAATTTTGCATCAGTAAAAATCCCGGAAATTCTCACATACTAGCGCAAAAACCTAAATCTTATATGATGTTAGACTTTATTTCAAAAGTACTGTAATAGACTTACCCAGAGTCCCCGGAAATTCTTTTCTCGCCAAGACAACTTGTGCGTCAGGATGCTGTTGGGTTTCAATGCGATCGTTCTTGTAATATACAAAGTCTCAATTCCATTTTCCACAGAGTCGAAACGAGCATTCAGTGTCCTTGTGTCAACATATCCAACACGCCATCTGAGTCGCTTTCCTGGGGTATCTGCATAAAACGATTTCAAATGCTTCACAATAATAATTTCAAAATTGCACGAGCAGTTATATATGAAAACAAATAAGAATAGAGCAGCAGAACATTGAACCATGTGATTTGCATGTGATCAAACAAGGCTGTGCTTACCCATGATATACTTTCATTGCCAAATTTAAAAATTCTGTACGGATTTTTGTCAATGATGGCCAGGTTTTGAAGAGAACCACCTGGAACATATGTGAGTGACCTGGCATCCATAGTACAATAAGTTGAACATTAAATTTGTGATGTGCTCCAAGTCCTTGAACATCTGATATGCTATAAATGCAAATTTTAAAACTCATTTTAAATTTTTATGATGTAACATGTAGAATTTTCCACATACTATGTGACTTTAGTTTCACAGTATATTAGAAAACCCCCGCTTATGAACAGAGCACGGTATATACTGAGCAGAAGAACAAGATTAACTCTGGATTTCAAATATTGAACTCTCTTGAGTAATTACAAACATTTTTAATTCTATGTATAAATGTTTCCATGAAGCTAAAAAAAGTATTCATGAATTTTCAAGCACTAAAATACAGTACAAATACAGCATGGTGTCAGAATAACGACGTGGTCGAACTTATCTTTCATCCAAACCACCAGCAAAAAAAAAGGGGTCGAAAGGCATCATAACATATCTTTTTTTTCTCTCTGGTTTTTTATTATTTTTTTAGCACGCTGATTGATTTTTTGCGAGCATAAGTCGCAACCAAAGAAGAACATATCGGTATATTTGTCAGCAGTTTATCTTTATTTGTATACAATAGTAACGTACCTGAATCATAGACTTGAA